TCACTGATTTTTAGACATGCTATCAGATGTGATTCAAAGATTGCTTAAGCCAGTGTACAATTACAGATGTACACCAGCTTCTTATATATTGTAATATCATACACTAAATTAATTAGCGGCCGCTATGACCCCTTTACACTCATACGCGTACGCTAGTAGTTCGGAAGCGGCCGCGGTATTATCCGACGGTCGTATGTTCTTCCGAACTACAGAATCTTGAATCAGAGCTTATAATCTCACTTCTCTAAGTTAATAATCTCTTTAATCTGATATTCTCTTTTACTCTTTAATATTTCATGAACAGAGTGATGAGTCACAGAATTCTCTTCTAAGAATTTCTTATATTTACAGAGTAAAGAGATATGAAAAATATTATATATCTATAACTCAGATAACAGTTTCAATCTATAGAACTATAAACTAATTTTCTTTATAATCTTATAAGACTCTGTCTGTAAGAGATTCAGCTTCTTACTAGATCTCTATATAATGATATTTTCTAGACTTAGTCAGACTTTATCATCTTTCTTAAAACTCTTTATAATATACTTAAAGTTATAGTATCTCTTCTGATACTCTTAAGTCTTTCTTAAGAATTTACAGACTTTCTCTCAGATATTCTGAATTCTCTCAGTCTGTTTATAGATATTATTACACTTTATAGTATATTCTCACAGATTTATTAAGATTATCTGTAGATAAGTTTTAGTAAGTATTTTAAAGAGAATTTTATCTGTTCTGACATGTTTTAAGTTATTATATATAAACTCTATAAATAATAATTAATATATTCAGTTATTCTGATTGTAATTAATAAAGTACTGCAGATACTATTTTAATATACTTATCAGATGTTCTATCTGATTATCTGTCTATTAATAAAAAGCTGTGCTTAGATCTTATAAGATCTTCAGTATAATTATCAGATTAGATTAGAACTCTTCTATAAAGATTAATTCTCTATCTAAGATAATATTTATAGATAATTCATGCAACTGAATCACATTACAGATGAAGATATAAGTTAAATTCTTTGACTTTAAGTTCTTATAGATAAGTATAAAGTGTATTATTTTAATAAAGTGATTCACTATCATCAGCACACTGTCAAAGCAGATATTATATATATTCTTACTTTCAGAGAGGCTTATAAGAGTATTTATTTCTAGCTATTCTTAAGATTTCTGCAGAATGAGTAGAGAAGTAAGTTCTTTATATAATTTAAATCACACTACTCATAAATTCTGATAAATAGTATAAGAATTCACTATCTTCTTCATAAGTTCTCATATCTTCAGTCAGAAGTATTTTCTTATAAGTAACTTATAAGTTCTAATATCTATAAAATAATCTGTTAGAGAAGAGTTATGATATCTTTTAATAAGTTCTATATATAGAAACTTATTCATAGATATATAAATCTAACTCTCTCTTTATAAGAAATTATTTAAGTCTCTTTAATTCTTTATTTCTGCAGAATTGATTTCTACTATAAACAGTTTCTGAATATACTAAGTATATTCATTCTTCAGTTATAGTTCAGATAATCTGAATAGAAGATCTTATAAAGACTTATACTCTGTTTCTTCTTATATCAGATCTTTTATAGTACTTCTTAAAGCTTATAAACTCTTCAGATTATAGATACTCTCTTCAAGAATTCTCATAGAGATTTTCAGAGTGTTAACTCTCAGTATTATAGAGAGTAATTATACAGACTTCTTCTCTCTCTTTTCTCTCTTCTCTTATAAGAAATTGAGAGACTCTTCAGTTAATCTCTTTATAATACTCAGTCTGAGTATCTTATAAAGCTTTTCTATCTTCTCTAGTCTCTCTATATCTATTATTCTAATCTTCTTAATATAGTCTGATCTGTGAGAGAATCTGTCTACTAAGTTCTTAGTTCTCTTAATATATTCTATCTTAAATCAGAACTCACTCAGTCTCTGAGCTTAGTAAATCTATCACTGTGAGAGTTTCTTAATTAAAGTAAACTATTATAAGCTATTATAATCAGTTCTAATAATAATCACTGTTATAAGATTCTTAAAGTAGTGATATTAGTAATGAAAGAATTTTACTATTATAAGAAGCTTTTAATTATAAATACTATAGTTAATCTCTATAAGTTATATCTTCTATAAGAAAAAGATCACTGAAACTCAGTTCTTATTTAACTATAGTTATAAGACTATTTCTGAAATTATAAAGAAAAAGATATCTATCTCTAATCTGATTAAGAGTAAGAGATTAAAGTAAAACAGTATCACTATATCTATAAATATCTGTTTCAATCTTATAAAGACTCTGTGAGCTTCTAAGATAAGAAAGTTCTTACAGTTCTCTCTTCTTAATAATCTTTTCATTCTTTATTCATAGAATAACTTCTTCTTATTTTCACTCTTCAGTATATCTATAAGAGTTAAGAAGATTTTTATAAATATAAAGATAAACTATCTATAAAAATTTATAAAGTGTAGAAAAATCTGAATCTTATAAATACTAGTTAACTTTAGTTATAATAAAATAGTTTTAATCTATAAAGATTTTATCTGAATATTATCTACAGTAATTATATATTCTAGAAAATTAATTCAGTGAGTACTGAAGTTATACTTTATAAGCTTAATATACAGTTCTGTCTCATTTAAGATCTTTAATATACTTTATATATACTCAGTGTGTTCTTTCTTCTTTATAGAGTACATGTAGCGTACGCCGCTATGTAGAGGTCAGATATAAGGGTAAAAACTCGTCTTATTCTCTAAAAGATGAAAGATGAGCGTACGCCCTTATATATACAGTGATTGTTTTATAGAGATTAACTCTTGTAGAAGAAGCAATTGCCTATGAAGAGAAGAACAGAGACTCTGTAGAGAAGAAGCTGACACTCTCATAGAAGAAGTGATCACATATAATCATCTATGAAGAGAAGGACAGAGACTCTGTAGAGAAGAAGCAGACACTCTCATAGAAGAAGTGATTACATATGAAGAGAAGAGCAGAGAAAGAAGATAGAAGTGAAAGCTTCAGAAAACAGTAAGAGATGAAGCAGAAGCTAGAGCTGAATAGAGAATTGACTTGAATAGAGAGTGAAAGCACACCACAGTTCCTCTATCTGAAAGGATGTGTTTGCAGAGAAGAAAAAATAACATTGAAAAAAGATGACAGATATCGCGGGTGCTAGGCTCAAAGAGGTGAATATTATTCAGAAGTGCTAGTCTGTTTATATATGCTGCAGATATCATAGAAAAGAGAAGACTGAGTGATAGAATCACTTATTCATACAAAAGATAATCAGATATAAGAATTGTTTATCTCTATAAAGAATGAAAGATGTAAGAATGACTTGAAAAGAAATGATAAGAAAGAGACAGAAGTTCTTTAATCTAAAAACAGCTGTAGAGAAAGAAAGAGATTGTAAAGAAATTACAAGAAGCTTGAATGAGAAAGAATTCTTTGATGAGATAGATGAGAATAGAAGTTCATTGTGATAGAAGAAGATTCTGTGAGTGATAGATCTTAGTGTAGAATGAATGATTGCATTAATATATATATTATAATCACTTTCTTCTTATTCTTCTCTTATTTCTCACACATCTTGCTAAAATTTAATATAGTGGAATTAGTAAAAATCACAATATATAGAAGATTAGATCATGAAAACAATGAGTCTCAAGAAGAAGTTAACAGCTGTGAAGACAGGTGCAGTGAGTATGATGAAAAAGATCTTAGTCTTAGAGAAATTGTTTCAGTTGTTAAGTTAGAAGAAGTGTGATACTCTTCTTTATATAAGTAATAAAGAAGAGGAGACAGGTGAGGAGATCAGTGAAGAGAAGACAGATGAGAATGAGATGAAAGAAAATGATAAAGATGAAGAGTTAGAATTCTGAATAGAGAGTTTAGAAATCTTCAATTCTAGCAACTTCAGAGATGAGCTTCTAATACTATCAACTTATCTTTTCACATATGAAGTGATCAAAGACTAAGATAAGAGAAAGGCAGTGATGTCTCATCATCACTTAGCTAGACTGCATGATGTCACTGCAGAAGAGTTAACAGATGAATCACATAGCAGAAGCTTAAAGAGTTAAGAAGAGTCTAAGACTGTGATATAAAAGCTTATAACACTGTTTATCTATTTGAAAAAGTCATAGCCATTCACACACTGGTTTTCAGAAGAAGATATTGAGATGAATGAGAGAGAAGAGAGTCAGAAGACTGCTGCAGAAGTGATCAGTGATGAAGAACTGTAAGTAGAACTGAAAGTAGAAGCTGAACAGACAGATACAGATATCAAAGAATCATTATCAATGAAAGAGAATAAGAAGCACTGAAGAGCTAGTCAGAAGCAGCATGAGACTCTGAGTGACAATGTTTTGAGAAAGTCAGAGTGAAAGAAGAATGTTGAGAATAATCAGATATCTTGACTGTATAGCATGACATGTATGAGATATCTGCATTATGATAACAAGACTGACTTGCACTTTCAGCAGAATGACAAGCTCACTTATCTGAGTGTGTCAATTATGCAGAATCTGACTGTGAAGAGGCTTGCAGATGCCATCTCAATCATTGAAAGACTCACAGAATATAGTGAGAAGATATCATTTATCAATCATGAATTTTTTGTTTTACTCAGTCAGTGATTAATTAAAGATTTGAGATAGTTATCTGTTAAGCAAAAGTTGCACTGATGAATGAATAATAATAAGCTAATTACTTCACAGATTATCAATTCTAAGAATTTCACTAATTGAAATATTATTATTCTGCAGACCTGCAGAGAAATAGCTTCTATATCATATCAGTCTTACATGAAGGGCCAGAGATGATTTAAGAAATGTGTGATCATCTCTGTAGATGATAAACAGACTCAGCAAGAGTATGACACTTGTATCAACTGTCAGTGAGAAAATAAGAGATCTCACTACTCTTTAAATCACTGTAGTCAGTATAAACTCAGATGAAACACAGATAACTTGCTATTTAAAGAAAGTATGTCTGAATTTGAAAAGACTGCAGCTGAGAAGACAGATGTTAATGATATTATTGAGATCAGTGATACAGAGAAGAAGAATAATTCAACTATAGTTTCAATGAAGAAAATATCTATATCTTTCAAGCATAAGACATTGAATCTGATTGCACTGAAACTCTTAAAATATGTTCAAATCAGCAAGCAGAGCATCTCAACATCTGTGAAGACAGATGATGAGATAAAGACAAGTCATTCAACCCCTGCTAAGATGATTAATAAGGCCAAGATGAGCAGTGTGTGACAGTTGTTGATTCTGTCTTCTGAAGATTATACAGTCAATTGTAGAGCTCAAGATTTGAAGATGCTGAAGCAGTTATCTAATCTTAATAAGTATAATCTGAACATTATTCAGACTGTATGAAAGAAACTGAATAAAATAGCTGAGTTCATCAATGTGGTTTCAGCTGCAGAGAATATAATAACTAATAATTATTTCTTTAAGTTGCTCAGCAGAGTGTGTTTCAGTAATCTTATAAATGAAGAGTTGTCAGTGAATGTTGCATTCTGAGACACATGTCTCACTGAGCAGAAGGTCAAGCTGCAGAAAGAGCTTGAAGATGATTAATAAGAAGAGACAGAGTGAAATGATGAAAAGAGTGAAAGATAATGATTTTCTTATTTTCTTTGTCTTCTCATTTAATAGCTAAAATTAGATTATAATACATTTTCTTTCTTTCTTTCACTCTCTTCTTATTTTACTTTTCTTTCTATTATTTACTCAGCTGACTGTGAGACTTCTTGATCATGAAGATCTTGACCAGATGTGAAGTGTCTTATGTGATGACTTCAAGAGACTTTTAGATCAGGTCTTCATATCTCTTTTACTTAATCTGAAGATAAGTCTTACTGTTCTCTGTGCACTTTCTTATGATGTTTTCAACTTCAAATTGCAACTAATTATTAATAAGTACTGATTCTAGTGATAAGTACTTCATATCTGCTTCTGTTAACACAGTCTTTTCTAGATAAATGATGAAGATTACTGAGTGCATTCATTAACTGACTGACAGTTTCAATTGAAATGCAGTATCTGATATCTTCTGAAGAATATGAAATGAGTCTATCTATAAGAGTGATAGCTTGAACATCTCTTTTAATGTATAGCTCTTTTGAGCTTTTTGAGTAAGGTTCAAGAAGACTCAATTATCAATCTGAATAGTTAATTGAGAATGAAATCAATTGAAGAACTCAGTCATTCTAGCTTTTATCAGAGTGTATAAGTCAAGAATGTCTTGCTGCACTGCATCTCATGTGATAATGAACTCAGCTACATCTAGTGAAGCTTTCTCATTATTCAATGACAGTCATCTAGACTTTACACTCATGAGCAATTTGAAGAGAGAGATCATTGTCAGCTATACAGCTACTGAGTTTAATACTCTTTTCACTTATTTAAGCAGAGCAGTTCAATTTGCTTCATATTTATCTATAAGAAGTATTTACAATGTGACTTCAACTGTGAGATTGATCTGCTTACTTTGATTACTTAAGTGAGAGTTGTAGATAGTTGTCATTCATGTCTTAATTCTCATGAGTTGAAGAACTGACTTTCAAAATTGTAATGTAAATTTGAGATCTCTATCTGAAATAATCATTAGTGAGAGCTGTCAGTGACAGATCATCTTTTTATAGAAGTCTTCTACTCATTATGAAGCATTTCATCATTTCTGTTCTATAATTAGAATTACTGCTTTTGAAAATTTATCTGTGACTGTTAATATAGTGTTGCAATTGTTACTCACAGATAATTCTGTAATAAAATTAATCAAAAGAACTTTAAACAGCTGTTTTAAGAGTGAGATGAGATGTAATTTATTCTCTGATGAGTGATTCAGTGATTTAGTTAGTTGATAATTGAGATATTGTGATAGATGGTTCAGAATTCTCTTTCAGATATGAGAAAGAAAGAAGAACTGATGAATAAGATTTTCTATTCAATGAAGATCAGAGTGACCTGCTGCATCATAGTATATATAAATAATGTCTCACATCAGCAATTTGAGAATACAGAGATATGATTCTTTGAAGAACAATAGTCTGTTCTGTACTGTAAACAACTGATATCACTCTTTCTGACTGATCTTGTAAAAGATCTTTCTCAATGCTGAGTCATGAGAAATATCTTAGTATAGTTACTTTTTGAATTCATCAGTGAGCTCTATCACTGTAGTTGAAATCATATATATCTTCACTGAAGATGTATCTGTCATCAGTTCATCTGTCTGATTAATGATAATCTGATAAATTTTTTTCTACTCTTCAGAGAGAATCTCTTCTGAATTATTATCTAGATAATACAATCTGAATAGAGTATCAGTATTAGTATGTGCAGTACTCTTATAATAGCAGATTATCATCTGTGAAAGATATAAGCTTAGAACTAAGACTCAATTCATCAGTCAGTTGCTACAATAATCTATTACTGATGACTGAAAAGCAGATATAAGAGTAATATAATCTGTGATAACTGTAAACTCACTGTCTAAATACTGTGATAATTTCTGCAGAGCTTATATGAGTTCAAGACACTTCAATTCAGTTGTTCAGTAGTGCTTTTCAGCTGTACTTAATTAATGAGAGAGAAATAGAACAGATCTTTCAATGTTATTTATTCTGACTTAGTGTAGAGCTACTCTGATATCTCTTTACTTACTGACATTTATATACAATATGAAGAGACATTTAAAGTCAGAATATGCCTGAGTGAAAGTGTTTATCAAGACTTGCTTTATCATGTTAAACAAATGTCTGGCTTCTGTAAGCAGAGCATGAAACTGCAGTGAGTTCTTAAATTTCATCAACTTAGTCTTAGCTGTGTATAACACTCTTTTCTGGCCTGTTTTTAAACTGTTATACAGTAACTTGATCTTGAGAGTCTCTAATACTTTCATCTGATCTGTATAAAAACTGATAAAATTGTGATAATAATTGAAGAGACTGACAATTTCTTCTAATTCTTCAAGTGTTATAGAGAAGGCTAGATTAGTAATAGCAGCTACTTTCTCTTCTTGAGTAGATATGTCTAGTCAGCTGATATGATGACTCAGTAAACACACTGAGAGATACATGAAATGATATTTAGTTAATAACATTATTATCTCAGATATCTCAAGAGCTGTGAAGACTTGCTGCATATAATGAAGATATTTATTCAGTGAGTAAGAGAAGATGATGATGTCATCTATATAGACTAATGTGAATTATCATAGAAATTTCACTAGAATCTTCTTCATACACTGTTGAAAGAACTCAGGTGAGGTTGTTAATCTCATTATAATAACTATAAAATGTTCAAGATCTCAGTGTGAAGTTATGAATGTGATTTTAAAATAATCATTCTGTTCAATTGCTTATTGAAAGAAGTCTTGATAAATATTCATAGATAAGAATATCATAGAACTACTGAGTGATTGCAACACATCTTGTTATATTGATAGAGAATATACATTGAGAAGTAAGTGTGTGTTTACTTTTTACAAATCAATTATCATTCTCAGCTTTTCTCTAAGTCAGATTACAAAGATGAGTGAAGTAATGAAGTTTCTGTCTCTGAGAGAAACATATTCAATTCTTCTATCTTACAGAAGTGAGTTCAGAATCTGATCAGTGACTTTACAATCTCTTTGAGACAGAGAATAGAGTCTCTGTTTCAGACTGGAAAAGTTGCTCTTATCAATAAACTGCAGTGATATCTTAACATTATCTGAAAATAAACCTAGACTGAAGCTAAATAGTTTGTGATATTGATTAATGATCACTTGAATGACTGCTCAGTCTTCTACTGCTCAGTGATCTGATATATCTGCTTAAACTCACTTAATAAGAGTGTCTGCTGTGAGAATTTAAAGTGAATTATTCTGATCTTTCACATCTGTCAAATATAATTTGATATACAGAGTAGAAAACAGAGAATCTTTCAAGTCAGAATAATGAATGATATCAGTATTGACAGCACAAATGACAATCTTCTTCTACTGCTAAGATAACTGTGAGTTTGACAGGCATCTATCTGTGCAGATAGCATCTCTGATGATCTTGACATTTATAAAATATCTTCTGTGAAATGTAACAAGCTCACTGTGAACATTAATAGTTACTTTTATCAATAATAATACATCATTAGCTATGATTATATTGTATCTGAGATATCACACTAAGTGAAATTCATCTTCAACAATGAAAAGAGAATTGTTATTCACTCTCAAGATAAGATCTGTTATTATGAATAGATTTGATTCATCAGCTTCTGAGCTAATTTCTTGAATGCTCACACATTGATCATATGACATAGAGGTCAGTTAACAATGAGAGAAGAATAGGCTTGCTATTATTACATTAATAAGTGATATATCTGCATCTGTATTCATACAAACAGAGAGATCATCTTGTGATATAATGACAGAAATGATGAGAAAGGTGTAAGACAAATACTGTAGTCTGCTAATATATTCTTGATCACTTATAGAAATATCACACACTGTAACTGCATATATATCAGCATTAAAGATGTTTCAATAATTATCTGAGAAAATATCTGTAGATGAGATGAGTCTCTTAGTATTCATCTCACTGATTATTTTTCTGACTCACTATCAGAATCTAGACTGAGATCTAGATTCAGCAGCTTATCATTATCTTCTGTATTCTTCAGTTTAACTTAATTCACTGAACAATTGTTATTCTCTTCTTTTTTGAGATAGTGATTAATGTAATGAGAGTCTCTGCAGATGTAGCACTCTGCTGCAGGCATCAGCAGTCTTTCTTCTTCTGTTATACACTGAATTGATAACTTACTCATTGTGAGAGCACTTGTGAGAATCACTGCCATCTCTGTAGTAGATACAGATGACTTTGTAGCTTCTGTCTACTTGAACAGAGAGATATAATACAGACAGCAGTTATTACTCTGTTCAAAATATCTGAAACTATATATATAGTCAGTGAATTGAGTCTTCTGATCAGTTCAGACATATCAGACAGCTGACTTATTATCTCTAATTTATTATCAGAAGTTATTCAATCATTCAGCAGAAATGAGCAGTGTGATTAAGAAAAGATTGCACTCTAAATTCTCTTACAAGAGTCTCTTTATTATAACAGAGTCAGAGATTACAGCAGCTTACAGTAAGTTAATCTTCTGTGAGATGTATAATATCAGAGACAGTTTATTTAACTTCTTAAAGAAAAAACACAGAGTCTGAGCTTTCATTCAAGCTTTCTCTTCTGATAGCTGAAACTCAC